TGCGGTTTCATTTTCAAAATAGCTCTTTTTCAAAAGAGCGCCATGACTCGATTATGCAAATGAAGCACGGGAAATTCAAATCCTGGCTTCATTTGCAATTTCGAAGTGTCTAATTTACATCCCTCTGTCGAAAGAGGGATGTAGTCTAGACACATCCTTAGAAATATTTTATTCCTGAGGGGTCCAGTCTAGACAGGCCAAATGTTGGAAAAACCTTTTCCTACAGAAGAATTGGCGGGGGGCGGGGGGGAGAAAGGGGGCAGTATAGAGTGTATAAGGGCTGGGGGATAGCAAGTGATGGAAAGGAGGAAAAAAGAGAGGGCAGGCTTCAAGGAAGGGGTAGAGTCTTGGGGGAAGGATGGGGTGGTAGATCTTGGCTTGTTCTGACATTTAAAACGTGATCTTGGGAGGAAAAAGGTTGGAGACCACTGTCCTAAACTATTACTGCCCTACTTTCACTCCCCCACAGTCTAGCTTTTGCCCCCTCTGCATTCAAATCAGGCCACTTTCTCCTATGTGGTGTTTCGGTGCCTGTAAGGATGTTATTGGGAGCACAGAAGAGAGAGACAGACTCTGGTCTGTTCCGGTGTCTGGACAGGAGGAGCAGCCATTACAGGGAAAATCTGGCTTTGCCCTTATCTCTGGAGCATTTTCAGTTGCCCTGTGAGTATAGTGTATGCAGAGTCTGGGCAGCACTAGAAGATAGGAAGAGGATTAAGGATTAACAGCCAAAGTGTGGGCATGTTTGAACTGTGACTTTTCAAAGGCATACAGTTTGGTCAAATACAGGTGAATTTTCATGGTAACAGAAGAAGTCCATTCCTGATACATAAGACCAAGCACTACTTAATTTCAAGTCTTTGTATCAAAGCATGAGCTCTTTAAAAGAAAAAGTTACTCGAACTTTTAACGTGTGCATAATGATGTAATTTTCCGTTGGCTTGTTCTCAGAAATCCAAAAGGGTAACAAGTTGCTGTAATATGCAAGCTCATATATGGCTTAGAGTAAACCAGGTCAAGCCTTGTAGAGCTCTTTGTTACACTTAGACGTCTTTGACCTCTTAACAGTCAAGCAGTATAGAGGTACAGTTCCTTCATTTAGGGTACATCTAGACTACATCCCTCTGTCAAAAGAGGGATGTAAATTAGACACTTGGAAATTCCCCTGGGAGCAGTGGGACAGCCAGCAGCAGAGTCAAGGCAGACCCCAACTCCAACCCCCCACCCTACCTGCAAAAGCACCTGGCATGCACCTCACCCCCATCCACAACAAGCCCCGACTACACAGGCCACAGCGCTCCACCACTGATCAATGGGAGCTGCAGGAGCCGCATCTGCAGGCAAGAACAGAGCATGGAGACCCCCTGCGCTGACCCTCTCAGGGGCTGCAGGGACATGAGGTTTACAGGATCTTTTGAAAAAGGTTTCTTTTTTTTTTAAAGAACCTTGTCTAGACTGCGGTTTCATTTTCAAAATAGCTCTTTTTCAAAAGAGCGCCATGACTCGATTATGCAAATGAAGCACGGGAAATTCAAATCCTGGCTTCATTTGCAATTTCGAAGTGTCTAATTTACATCCCTCTGTCGAAAGAGGGATGTAGTCTAGACACATCCTTAGAAATATTTTATTCCTGAGGAAATTCTGCACCAAAAAGTTAAATTCTGCACACCTATATTTTAAAGTTCTGCAAATTTTGTCAAAATAACATTACAGGCAGTCTCCGACTTACGCAGATCCGACTTACGTCGGATCCACACGTACGAACGGGGCTTTCTCGCCCTGGAGCTCGCAGGCAGCGGTCCCGCCACCTCGACCTCCAGGGCGAGAAAAGCTGCTTCCAGTGCCCCTGGTCTGCTGGGGACCGTCTCCAACAGACCAGGGGCACCGGGAGCAAAGCCGCAGCAGCGGCGGGTTCCCGCGCTTCTGAGGCTTTGCTCTGGCAAAGCCTCAGAGGCCCGGGGCCCTGCCATGGCTGCGGCTTTGCTCCCG